AAGGTTGGCTGGAGGGCCTCTCCATCAGTGGGGCTCATGGACCCGGCACCCACTGCCCCCAGACTGGCATGGCTCATCTCACCTCGACATCTACCTGCGGGTGCTTCAGCCTGGTTCAATCCAACCTGCCACCTGTTCCAGCTTATGCTGGTTGGTGCTGCAGCCTAGTCTTGCTCAGTCAGCCCCCTGTCCTGGCTCCAGTGTGAACTGGCTGGTGTTGTGGCCCAACCTACCCCTCCTGCACCCCATTCTGTTTCTCAGATATGCCAGTGAATGCTATGAACTGGCCCAGCCTGGCCTATCCCCAGACCTGAGCCACATGTATGCTGTTGGGTACTTGATAGGAACAGTCTGACTATAAGTACTCCACATTTACATTGCTCCAGCAATATATGAGCATAAATAAAAATGGAGCTTTGGGAAATATGGGTTGGAGTATTATTAATAATCTTAATTGTATCCTTAATATTGTTACAGTTTTATCAGAAATTGATGACCCAGAGATAGCTGCAATAATAGACCTCCTTTGCAAGTTATGCTGTGACTTAATAATGGATATAGTGTGTATGTTAGAGTCTTTTAACAAAGGTGACTCCATCTTCCTAAACTACTGGTGAAATGGGGCCTCCTCTCCTATCACTCCTGTCAAGAGACTCCTATGTGCGCAAGCCCTCCCCTTATCACCTTTGTCAAGAAGCCACAATGTACGTAAGCATGTCATGGTAAAAATGATAAAGAAGAAACAATTGTATACTAATGAATATGTATGTTTTGAGAATGAATATGCATGTTTCTTAGAATTGAGAGAAAGCAAGTGTTACTGATAGATAACATGTAATAACCAATCAAAACATTGTAAACAACTGCCTGCCTTGCCCCTGGATTTGTATATAAACCCATGCATTTGTCCCAGTCACTGAAGCCAGCAGGCTCCCACTAGACCGGAGCCAAAGCCCTTGGGCTTCCATCCGAAACTTGCAGGCTCCCACGAGGCCGGAGCCAAAGAAGCCAGTAGGCTCCCACTAGACCGGAGCCAAGGTCTTGGGCTTCCACTCGAACTTGCAGGCTCCCACGAGGCCGGAGCCAAAGGCCTAGCAGACTTCCACGAGACCGAAGTCAAGAGGCACTCTCACTGGCTTCCCCCATCCTGTTTGGTGTGTGCTCGCCTGAATAAATGCTTGAATGCTTGATTGCAAAGCATCCACTCTTGACTCTTGGCGTTTGAGTGACCGGGCTTGGTGTTCATGACAGTATTGTAACCTGGCCTTATTTGGGCTGTTCTTTGTGTTAGTTCTTCATTTTCTCTTTCTTTTTTTTTTTCTACTTCTTTTTCTTTTTCTTTTCCTTTTCCTTTTCCTTTTTTCTCTTCTTCTTCTTCTTCTTTATAGCAAGAAGAAAAGTGCTGTTTAATGGGTGCAAAGTTTTTTTTAAATTAATTACATTGCATTATGTGACAGTTTCATAGGCTCTGGGATTCCCCCAACCCCTCCCTATGGCCTCCCCCCATGGTGGACTCCTCCACCTTGTTGCAGTATTGCATTACAAATTCAGTCAAGATTCTTTCTTCTTTGCATTACTTCTTGCACTTACCTACAGTGACTGCATCCTGACAGAGAGTTTCCCAAGGTCATCTGTCTGGTTTCCTCTCAGTTGCAGATCCTGCGCACACCGGCTCAGGTTGACTTTGTTCACCTCTTGTCCTGGCAGGAATGGTGTCCCTGCCCAATTGGCCCATACCCTTTCCAGTTCTTACTGTTGGGTGTTGCAGCCCAGTCACACCTTGTCTGTGCCCAGACACAGCTTTCACATGGTTCAGTGAGAGCTGAGACATAGCCCAGCCGGTTCTACAACCACCCTGACTCTCACAAGTACCAGTGGGTGCTGGAGTCTAGTCCAGTCTGTTACTCCCCAGACCCAGTCCACACCTGTGCCAAGGGAGACTGAAGCGATGTCCATCTCAGCCCCAAACCCCGTTCCAGCTCTTGCACTCACCAGCGGGAATTCCTACTCGGCCAGGATGTTCCCTTAGTTCCCAACCAGATCTGTTCCCAGCCACAAACCTTTTGTGTGCCCATGGAGATTGCTGTTCACCATAGGTGAGCCCACATACTCCCTGCAGATTCTACCCCCAGACCCGATTCACTCACATGTTTGTTGGCTTTTTGGTCCAGCCCCATGGTACCTGTTCCTTTTCTGACACTCGCTGGTGGGTTCCATGTTCTAGCCCTTTGAGTAGAGTGGCTTTGTCCATGGAAGTCCCTCAGAAGTCATTCCTTACCTGGACATGAACCCTCAGGTCCCTGCTTGTTCCCACCTGTGCCATCCCCTAGACTCCCTGTCACCTCACACCCTCAAGTTTCCAGAGTACACCACCAGGTGGCCCAAGGGCTTAGTCTGACACCTTTGTACCCAGGTCACCCAGCTGGGATTCCCCAGCTGTAGCCATGCACCTGGGGGAACAAAGTTCCCAAGCCTCCAGCTCAGACTCGTTCAAGATCTGCCCACAGCATGGCAGCTGCGGACAGAGAAAAATATCCAGCCTCAAGCCCAGGCTAGCTCAGGATCTGCCCACTGCATGGCAGCAGTGGATGGAGCTAGAATCCCAAGCCTCAAGACTGACCTCACCCGAGTTCCCCACAGCCACATAGCTGGGGTAGCAAAGCTCCCAAACCTCTAGCTCAGACTCTTCTTGAGCTACTTAATATTTTTCAATGAGCTTTATTTAGTCCCCTCTCATATGTAGTTAAACCTTAGCTACCTTTATATTCACACTACATCATAGTACCTCACTGCTGTTGAGCCTACTGTGAACATTTTACATTAATAGAGGGACAAAACAATGTAAGCTTATATGTAATTAAATATTCAGTGTCATAATTAGTACTATTGTATATCAACAACAGCTATCATTATTTTTCAGATTTATTGTGGCTCTATTGCAAGAGAAAGTAATAAGAATGGGTTTAGATGTTATAGTATTTGTGAACCATTTGGCAGATCATACTGATTGGAACAGAAGATTGATACTGGTTTGCAGATAGGGAAAAGGGTGAATTAATTGGTAGAGACACCATATATTTTTTTAAAGATTTATTTATTTTTATTGCAAAGTCAGATATACAGAGAGGAGGAGAGACAGAAAGATCTTCCATCTGATGATTCACTCCCCAAGTGAGCACAACGGCCAATGCTATGCTGATCCGAAGCCAGGATCCAGAAACTTCTTCCAGGTCTCCCATATGGGTGCAGGGTCCCAAGGCTTTGGGGCTGGCCTTGACTACCTTCCCAGGCCATAAGCAGGGAGCTGGATGGGAAGTGGAGCTGCCGGGATTAGAACCGGCGCCCATATGGGATCTCTGTGCGTTCAAGGTGAGGACTTTAGCTGCTAGGCCATGCCACCGGGCCTGGGACACCATATTTTAGAGGCCTTAAGTCAAAATTTGAAAAGCCCGTTTTTATTCCATTTGGTTTAGAGACTCATTTGCGCTTTCTCAAGTACAAAGATTTGGGGAAGATAGTGCTTTAAGATTTACTTGGTTATATTATTAAGGTTTGGAGGTAGCTGGTTTTGGTCTGTTTGTTAATGTTTTCCTTATTTGAGAGGTGGAGTGAGTGGAAGGGAGGAAAGGGGAGATAGTGAGTGCAACCCCATTTATGGGTTCACTCCTGAATGCTCATAATGACCACGACTGCACCAGGGCTGGAGATAGGAGCTTGCAGCACAATTCAGGTTTTCCCCCATGAGTGGCAGAAACTCAGTTATTTGAGCCATCACCACTGCGTTCCAGGCTCTGCCTTGGCAGAAAGCTGGTAAGGAGCTGAGCTTACAATCCTGTATTTACTGTGATGTGGGATGAGGGTGTCTGGACCATAAGGCTAGAAGCCTTGTTCTTTAATAGCAAGGTTCTTTGATCATGGGTGCCTAACATAGTGCCTGAGGGGAATTCACTTATAATTCAGTCAATATATGGATAAGGTAATGTAGGCCTAGATAGACATTTAGGCGTTAGGAAAAAGTCATATGAGAGATATTTGGAAGAAAAACGATATAATTGTTTTCTAAGAGTGTGAAGGGTGTGTAAGGTTAAAGATGACATTCAAGTTTCAGCATGAGTTTCAGTGCTAGCCAAGAAACAGGAAGTCATTTGGGGGAAAGGGGATAGTCATCATTGTGTTTTTAGACTTGCTGAGTTTGGCATTGAAATGCCTAGTATATAAGGATTTAAGGGCTCAAATTAGAACTGAAATCTGAATGTTTAATTTTGGATATCATGTAGATTATTGTTTTCATAGTAAAAAATTATTGGATTGATAAAACTGTTGTACACATGTGTGCAGAGGTGTGCATATGTGCACAAATACAAACACCTTCATAGACTATAACCTGAGTTGTTTATGATTATTGACAAACAAATCTGCTTGTCACTGTTAGAGGAATGGTGAAGATATTTTGAGGGGGGGAGCAAAAAAAGAAGGAGATATGAAGAAAAACAGAGATGGGAAAACTTATAACAGATTTATCCATGAGACTTTGAAATTTATCTTATGTTTCAAAATATTCCTGTGGCAGGAGTGTGTGTTGGGTGTTTATGTGGGACTGGAACAGTCTTGGCATTTGCTTCTATTTGTTCTGTGATACAAAAGCATAGTTGTGTCCCTTTTACTTCGGAGGAAGCTGAAATCTGCAGAAGTTAGAAGTTGATCATTAGTGGGAAGTTATTAGACAAGAATGTTTTCTATAAAATTAACTGGCATGTATGTTGGATGAGGCTGCTCAATTCTGTTTTGAAACATAATCATAGTGTGTTGTTTGGAGATCAAACTTTTTGACTACTTGTATGTATTAATTTAAAAGAGTGTTATTTATGTACTAACTACTTAGTAAAGAGTTTTCACTGTTTTTATTTCTTAAGCTAATATAAATTTCTGATCCATTCTTCAGACCATTCATACATTAGCAAGAAAATATAAGGAGTGCCTGTCATTGTCTTCTCTTCCAGGGGATATCATTTTCAATGCCCAGTACCCAGAGCTGCCCCCTGATTTTATCTTTGGAGAGGATGCCGAGTTTCTGCCGGACCCCGCAGCTCTGCACGTGAGTTCCACAGACCAATTGGTGGAAAGAAAACAAAATTGGCTTTTGACAACTGCTTAATGGATGCATTTGTCAAACATGTGATATTTTTCTGTCCTTATTTTCTTTTTACTGTGAAATAGCTACAACTTTTGATGTTGCCGAGAGTTAAAAAGAGATTTTTTTTAATTAGTTTTACTTTCAGACTCTTTTAAATTCGTGAAAAACTCTAGCAGATTGGTTGAAATAATTTTACTCCAGTTTACAAAGACATGTTGAAAACATTTTCTTTGTTTCAACTTAATATTTCTTGTCTGCAATCAGTTTTCTTGTGATTACCAACACTTCATCACCAGGCTTGCTAGGAGAGTATTTCCTGGCTCCACAAGAGCTGTTTGCATGAAAGTGAAAGTGGCAAATTTGGCCTTGTCCCCACATTATCTCAGTATTATTATCAGCTGGGTAGAAATCAGATTAAGTGTTCTTTATGAAGCAAAACCAAAATCTTTGTAGTTGAAATAAAATGTTCCTGGAAGTAAAGCAGAAATAGTCAACACTAGGGACATGAGTGCTGGTACTTGCCCAAACACATGGGTTTTATATAAAAGTTGTGTGCTTTACATGTCTATGCTGGAGAAAAACGCGTGCTCTTTGCTTAATCTGCTCTGATCAAACAAGAAGCTTCTCTCTCTGCTTTTTTATGTGCTAACGTATTGTGATATAGATCTTAAGAGTTTTAATTGTTTAAAACTGTGTCCGTAGTTTTGCTTTGTGAAATTTTTTTTTGTCTTGCTAAAGTTTCGCAATTGAAATTTTGATGACTTGGGAATATTTTGAAGTTGACCATGAATCCTCCCTTTTTAAGGGGGAATTTCTCCACCTGAGCTAAACAATGTGTTAAATTTTAGACCACAGATGTAAAAATACTGTTGGCAAGAAAAATGGATTTGTTGTAAAGTTTGAGGTAATTGTACAAAAGCCGTGATTTAATTTGATTCTTAGATATGATAAATTAAATATGGCTTCTTCAGATGCCATGTGTTATCTGTTTACCTCTTCTTAAGGCTGAGTACTTACCTGAAGAAAATAAGGTAGAAGTATCATTATAGCCCTCTCTTGCATTGAATCCATACAGTGAAGGGTCATATATGCTAGATGTTGAAGAATGTGTTACATGCTCAGTGCCACAGGAATGTAAAGAAAGTGACCAGAAAAAGTTTATAATAGAAGTGAGATTTGTACTCATTCTAGAAGAGTGGAGCAAAAAGTGCGAAGTATGGCAGGAGGATCTTGTGTGAAGGAGTATTGTAAGCAGGTTTGTAGAAGCTATATTGCAGAAACGAACATTGACAGACTTACTAAAATGTAAGTTAATACAAGAAAGGGCTAGGAAAGGTTAGAAATTGGGAGAAGATTGGGTTCTGTATTTAATGCTGAGCTAAAAGCCATAGAAAGAGATGATAAAAATCATCCAATGACCACGTGGTCAGTGTAGTGGACTGAGGAGAGGTTGAAGACCTGACATGAGGGCAGAGAGAAGGGGCTTTGAGCTAGTGTTATGTAAGGAGGAATGTTATGTGAAAAGAATAAAAACATGCCCCTACATGCCTTGGGATTGTCTCTGTAATTTGCAATGCATATCTTTAATATTGGCAAGTGTGGTGAAAGTGTAAAATTTAAAAGCTAGAAAGGGCCTTTGGATTTGTTGTATTCCACTCTTCTATGTTGGCACTGAAAAAGTTGACCTAGATTTGTATAATTTTGTGTCAAAGCTGAGTTTTATAACTCTACTCTTTTGATGTTTAGCTTCTGAGTAAAGCTATCACAAATGTTTTTGAGAAATTAACTGAAAAAGAACAGTCAGAAAATTGAAGCACTAAACAGAAAGACTGCAAATCTAGGGAAACTCCTCTTCAGTGCTAGTCCATCTAAGGTCTCAGATGGGCTTGTCCAGGGGTGCTTCATGGACCAGGAAACTGGGCAAACTCAGATAAGCAACTGGAGCACACCCTTCTTTAGCCGTGTGATGGCCAGATGTTCCAAAAAGTCGGCTTGCTTTCACCTGGCTAGAACACTGGAGCAGGATAAATGGGAAGGCTTGATTCTCATCAGCCATTTCCCTCAGCTTGGCTTGTCTTGAAGGACTTTTTAACTCAAGTGTTAGCAGGTTGTGGTATCATTCTTGGATTCAATTAAGAACCCCTGCTCCCCACCCCTTGTTGAAGTAATCATAGCCCAGACACTAGTCATGTGACTGCTTTGCCTAGGGCTCTGAATGAAAGGAGGGAGTTGGGTGCAGCTCATGCTCCATGGAATGGGAAACAGAATACCTGTACTTGTGGTTTTCTCCTGAGAGACGACAACTCAGTGCAGAAGGGAACTGAGTGTGCAGCCTTGGAGTTCAGTCCAAAGTAGAGATTCTTCTGAAGCTTTTAGTTTATCTTAAACATTTATGAACAATTTGCATTTTATTTGATTAAATACCTGTATTTTTAAACATCAGGATATTAAATTAAACATATTTAGGAAAAAAATGGACTTTGTAGTGAGGTCTAGTTTGAGAACAATAGCTTTAGAGAATTTATGTATAATATAAAATCTCTTACTTATTTTACTTAATTAAACTTGGTCTTTTAGAAAAAAAGATTTGAGGTGATTGAAGCATAGGAATAGGGAGGCTACTAGAAACATGCGCGGATTCAGATGAAGCTGCCCTTTCTAAGCCAGACTCTTCATTCAGGGAGATGAGTTCTGAATGTCAAATGTTAGATTGATGCCAGATCTGTAAGTGGAAACCTCAATACCAGGGTATCATGAAATCATTGGGATCTAGTCTTAATGGCTACCGATTGTGATTGTACATGAGGATGATCTGGGAAGCCTGTTAAAAAATACAGACGTCTGGGCACCCACTAATCCTACTGAATTAGATGCTTTGAACCTCAAAGACTGGCAAATTCTCTGTGCTATTTCTTTTCTTTTCTTCTTCTTCTTTTTTTTTTTTTTTAAATGAATTGCTCTTAGAAGCTACTGATTGAATGATCTTTTACATTGTAGTCTTTCCGCAACCGAAGGCCATAACATTATTTCCAGTGAATTCATTTTGAACAACTCTAGTAGAGGAGGAGAGACAGAGAGGAAGATCTTCTGTCCATAGATCCACTGCTCAAGCGGCCAGAACGGCCAGAGTTGAGCTGATCTGAAGCCAGGAGCCAGGAGCCTCTTCTGGGTCTACCACGTGGATGCAGGGTGCCAAGGCTTCGGGCCATCCTCAACTGCTTTCTCAGGCCATAAGCAGGGAGTTGGATGGGAACTGGAGCAGCAGGATTAGAACTGGCACCCATATGGGATCCTGTTGCATGCAAGGCAAGGACTTTAGCTGCTAGGCTACCATGTCAGGCCCTCTAGCAGGTTTTAGTAACAGACTCATTGACATATAATTTATGTACCATATAATTCACCTGTGCAAAGTGTATAATTCATTGGCTTTTCATATATTTACAGAATGGTGCAACTGTGACCACAAACATAAAACATTGTCATCTCTGCAGAAAAGAAACTCTAATCCCTTATCCAGTCCTAAGTCTATAAAACAAGTAATTCACATTCTTTCTGGTGTTGCCTATTCTAAATATTTCATATAAGCAGAGGTATAAAATGTGGCTCATTTTGACTGCTTTCACTTAGCATAATGTTTTCATGTAGAGGATATTACTTTCATTTTTATTGCCAAATGATATTTTGCTGTATGCCTAGGCCACATTTTATTTATCCATTTGTTATATGATGTGTGTTTGGCTTGTTTCCATTCTTTGGCTACTGTTATTACTGCTGATCTGTGGACATATTTTTTTTTCTTGGGTGTATTCTTAGGAATTGAATTGCAGGCCCAAATGGTGACCCTACATTTAGCGTTTTGAGAAACTACTGGATTGTTATCAAAAGTGCCTAACTAGTTGGCATCCCTCACACACCAGTATAGAAGGGTTCAACTCCACATCCTTACTGGTGTTTGTTATTTCCCGTCTTTTGACTGCAGCCTGTCTGGTGGGAGTGAGTTGGTATGTCATTGAGAGTTTGATTTGTTTTCCCTGGTAATTAATGACGTCGAGCATCTTTTTGTGTGTTTAATGGTATATGTTCTTTGGAAAAGATGTCCGTTTAGACCCTTTGCCTGTTCTTAAATTGGGTTACTTGACTTTTTATTATTCACTTGTATGAATTCTTTATTCTGAATGCAAAGCATTTATCAGATGCATTATTTGCCAAATTTTCTCTTGTTCTGTGGGTTGTCATTTTGCTTTCTAGGTAGTATACTTTTAAGGACTAAATTTTTAGTGTTGAATAAGTCCAATTTATCTAGTTTGTTTTTGCTGTTGTAGTTGCTATACTTTTGGTTTTATGTCTAACAAACCATTGCCTAATCCAAGGTTGGGAAGATTTATTTTTATGTTTTCCTTGAATTTTTGTAATTTTGAGTTACAATTATATCTTTGATTTGCTTTGAGTCAGTTTGGAAAGTTGGGGTCTTACTTCGTTGTTTATCTATTTCCAAATAGATAGCCAGTTATCTCAATATAATTTATTGGAAATATTGTCTTTTTGAGCTGACATTCTTGTTAGGACCCAACTGAATATGGATGTCAATTTATTTCTGGACTCTCAATTCTATTCCCTTGACTTATATGTCTGTACTTATTCCAATTCCATAATTTCTTAATTGTTGTGATTTATGATGTTTTTAAATTGAGAAATATAAGTCTTTCCCAATTGACTCTCATTGTTTTTTAAAGATTGCTTTAACTGTTTTAAATCCTTGCATCTCTATGTGAATTTTAGGATCAGCTTGTGATTTTTGCAAAAAATTAATCTGAGATTTTGCTAGAGCTTATATTAAATCTGTAAATAGATTTAGAGATTATTACTGTTTTAACAGTATTTGTTCTTATGAAAGAGGAACATTAAATATCTTTAAGGCCCTTTATTTGTTTGGATACTGTTTTTATAATTTTCAAAGTATA